ATGAAAATACCAGATTTGCCCTATTGTGACGTAGTGAGTGTGCCGAATCCGTTTCCGCGTAAAAGTGACCGTTATTCGGAAATCCGAATTTTGAGGCGTTTATAAGTTGATTTTTTCGAGGATTTCAGTGATCAAAAAACTCTGACTGAAAATTTCTGTGACATCAGGAGCCTTACCTAGTTGTTTTGATTAAAGCAATAAAAAAAATCACGCAAAATGCCCATTGCTTTTCATAAGCACTTGAGCAAGGAGAGTTTGACCAGGGCCTGTTCAACGATAAATGCTGCTTTATATGTCACTCTGAGCTGTTGGTTCGATTTAATGTCAGCTCATTGACTACTATTCTCGCGCCGAAGTCTGTGAGGGGCGGGGAGAACCTCACCTGAACATCGGTAGAAATGTAATCGTGAAGAAAGGGTGTTGAAACATGTTCCTCAAAACTGATCATGCACACTGAAAAAAAAATCTTTGTGTATTTACTAAGAAAAGGGTAAAATTACCAAAAATTCAGGGTTCTATTTGATCCAAGTTTTCTTCTTGGTAAAATTATCATTTATGGAATTGGTAATTTTACCAAGAAATCTCGGTAAAATTATTGAACTTTTTCGGTAATTTTACTGGACCTTGGTAAAAACGCCAATATTTTGTATCGACTGTGGTAGAATTACCGAGATAAAATGGCAAAGGTCCCGGGAATTGATTACCAATAAAAGTGGTATTTTTACCTGGAAAAAATAGTAAAAATACCGGTTTTTAGGTAAGCTTGCCAGTCTGTCTTGGTAAAATTACCAATAATTGGTAAAAAAAAGTGAGATGGTAAAGGTACCAACGGACCTTGGTAAAAACGCCGAGAATTTTTTTTCAGTGCAGACTTGAATCTCTAAGAAATTGATTTAGGATTCAAAGCGTAGGCTATGTGAAAAAATAAATCGAGGGCGGGGGGTGGGGGGTTGTCACCTGCAAAGTGAAGGCCCCCCTTTGACTTGGACATGAGGATTTAAGTTTATGCAACATTTTTTGTAAGTCGATCAACCCTTCGGACAGCTCCTCCGAATTTTTGAGAATCAAGCTCATGTCAAAATTTTTAAGACCAAGATTGTACCTACTCTATTATTTCCTCCCATCATAATCTACGCTCACTGTTTTCCTGGCCTTACGTATTGCTAAGGGTGTGGGCATTCTTAACGGGTGGAGGAGGGTCTTCATTAGAGGTGACAACCGCCCGCCTCCCGCCCTCGGTTTATTTTTTCTCTTAGCCTATGCTTTGAATTCTAAGTCAATTTCTCAGAGATTCAAGTCTGCATGATCAGTTTTGAGAAACATGGTTCAACATCCCTTCTTCACGATTAAATTTTCTACCAATGTTCGGAGGTTCTTCCCGCCCCTCACGGACTTCGGCCCGAGAATGACTGTCAATGAGCTGATATTAAATCGTACAAACAGCTCAGAGTGACATGCAGGGTTATCCAAAAGTCACTGATCACCCCTGTAACTTTTTTCCAAATTAACATAGAAGTTTGAAACTGTGGCAATGTTCCTCGGTCTAAAGTAGCGACTTTTTGGTCCACACAAAATTTGGGGGGGGGGGGCGGCCCCCCTGAGGGGGGGCGGGGGCTAACTTTTTTTTCAAATGGCAACCCCCCCCCTTTGTGATACTTCATTCGAAAGATAATAAAAAACGAACATTTTTGGCGCAAACCGCAGGTCAAAATGTTGATTTTTGACAAAATGGCGGCCGGTCAAAGTTCAAAATGGCGGAAATTTGGCATCTCCGTTTTTTATCGGCGGATTGGTCTGAAACTCAGAATCCTAGGGTTTTTTGGGACAAGAAAAACGATTCTGGCATCGGTTTTCCAGAAAAGGCAGTCCTTTTCAAAATGGCGGTGGTCAAAATGGCGCCCTAGAGCGAGAAGTGGATATTTAGGCTGCTTATCGTTGGATTTGCATGAAACCTGGTATCCGGGGGTATTTCGGCAAGAGAGGAACGAATCTTTCATTGGATATCTGAAATTCTGACGAATTTCAAAATGGCGGCGGAAAAAAAAGGCGAGAAATCAGTTTTACGGCTGTTTACCGATGGATTTACATGAAATGCGATGTCGATTATTTAGTATTTAAATAATTAATGAAAGATTCCTTTTTATCCAGCCAAAAACCACCAGGCTATCGCATTTCATGTAAATCCATCGGTAAACAGCCGTAAAACTGATTTCTCGCCTTTTTTTTCCGCCGCCATTTTGAAAGTCGTCAGAATTTCAGATATCCGATGAAAGATTCGTTCCTCTCTTGCCGAAATACCCCCGGATACCAAGTTTCATGCAAATCCAACGATAAGCAGCCTAAATATCCACTTCTCGCTCTAGGGCGCCATTTTGACCACCGCCATTTTGAAAAGGACTGCCTTTTCTGGAAAACCGATGCCAGAATCGTTTTTCTTGTCCCAAAAAACCCTAGGATTCTGAGTTTCAGACCAATCCGCCGATAAAAAACGGAGATGCCAAATTTCCGCCATTTTGAACTTTGACCGGCCGCCATTTTGTCAAAAATCAACATTTTGACCTGCGGTTTGCGCCAAAAATGTTCGTTTTTATTATCTTTCGAATGAAGTATCACAAAGGGGGGGGGTTTGCCATTTGAAAAAAAAGTTAGCCCCCGCCCCCCTCAGGGGGGGGGGGGCCCCNGGGGGGGGGGGTGCCCCCCCAAATTTTGTGTGGACCAAAAAGTCGCTACTTTAGACCGAGAAACATTGCCACAGTTTCAAACTTCTATGTTAATTTGGAAAAAAGTTCCAGGGGTGGTCAGTGACTTTTGGATAACCCTGTATAAAGCAGCATTTATCGTTGAGCAGACTCTGATCGAACTTTACCTGCAGAATTATCGTAAAAAATATGCCTCGAAATGATGTTTTGGCAATTTTGGGGGGTATCAGGGGCTGCGGGAAAATGGTAAAGTGGCATATCGCTCCAAAATTTAACAAGGATTCAGAAAATGGTGCTCTTCGTAGTGATACGAGCCAGGCCCGCCACATACCATCTCGGGCCCTGGTACCAGTTTTAAGGCCCGGGCCCCAAGCACGGGGGGGGGGACTGAGGGCATCCCCCGAGAAATTTTTGAATTTCTAAAACTATTCGGACGCATTTTGAAGCCTCCTTGACGAATTTGTCCATCAATTTCTGCGGAATAATTACGCTTTTTTTTCTACTTTTAGCTCAAAAAACTTGCGAATTATTGCATCCAAAACATCTGGAAAATTTTTATTTTTGGGGGGGGGCATATGATACTATTTTCAATTCTGAGGGGGCCACGCCCCCTGGACTCCCCCTTCGTTTGTCTATGGCAAGGGAGTTGAGCCATGAGCCTTTGAAGTCGAGGATGCCCAGACTGGAGACTCATAGCATCTAACGACGGAAGAAAATGAAACGCAGTTACTAAAAATATCCTTCTGCACTGAAAATCTTGAAAATAGATGAAAATTTTCCAAGAAGTATACCTCTTTGAAAAGAGCTTAAGGCAAAAACGGCTTTTTTCGCCCCCCCCCCTCTGGAATTTCTTCAGACTTTATCTATTGATTACTCATACTTGAGCGCTTCTTTTCCCAAATTTTCAGACCCCCAANGGGGGGGGGGGGGGGGTGGGGCTAGCGGGGTGGAAGTCAAAACCTGTGAACCTCGATATCTCTCAAACGAAGAAAGATATCGAGGTCCGGTTTGGACGAACAATCGTCTACAATTGCATACTTTAAGATTCTAAGGGTCGAAATCGCGATATCTCATTTTTAAGTCAACAAATGTGCTTTTCTCCAGTTTTTAAATCTAGAAAATTTCTTTTAAACGAAAAATTTACAAAGATCTCAACTTTTTATTTAAACCAAAACCAGTTTTTAAATTGTTCGTCTTTTTCCGCATCCAACGAGTGGTCCAATAGGCTAGGGTACCAAACGGTTCCGAAGTTATGATCGATTGAAGTTTCCGCTCAACGCGCGCCAACCGATTTTCGCGCGCAAAAAAGTCGGATTTGACTGCTAATAAATCAGATTGAATGTTCAAACTGAGCAAAATGCATTATTAGGGACTCTTGAGGGTTGCTGAGTTCAGAAATTACAGATACTTCCAAAAAATTCACGTTTTTAAAATTACAGCTCTGTACAGGACCCCTGAGCGGCCAGTCCGCGCTCAGTGGGCCTCTAAAATAGCGCTAAGGAGCTGTAATTTTTAAAACGTGAATTTTTTGGAAGTATCTGTAATTTCTGAACTCAGCAACCCTCAAAAGTCCTTGATAATGAATTTTGCTCAGTTTGAACATTCAATCTGATTTAATAACAGTCAAATCCGACTTTTTTGCGCGCGAAAATGCGCCCGGGCCCCGGTACCAGGGACCCAGTATCCCCCTCCCCCCTTGTGGCGGGCCTGATACGAGCAACCGTTCTTGTGTTTTGGCCGGCAAAACAGATTTTGGGACACTTATCCCCCCTCAAAATTCCAAAACCCGCCACGCTATCAATGAGGACTTTTTTGGGAGGACCTGGGGGGTCGTAAGGACTCCCTGTGCCCAAAATCAGCTACCTAATGGGGAAAAGTATGGTTTTAAAGAGTAGAGTAAAATTGTTAGGTTTGCAACGTCAAAACAAACATTATTGCTTGTAAGTATATTGTGAAAAGTCACGATAAAAAAAAATTTGATGCCTGTAATTGCTGCTAACTGCCATTATTTGCGTCCAAAACGCTAAAAAGGCGAGTCTCAAACATGTTCGCCGAGACTAAAAAATGTGTTGCGGCAGTACAAACAATAATCCGATTTAACTCAAATTTGGGAATACTGAATGTTTAACATAGTGACAAAATAAAACCATCGAACATCGATGATCCAAGAAAATGTTTTGGATGGTTTAAATTTGGGACACCCCATCGTGCACCTATCGGGGAGTTTCTCCTGTAACTACAAGCACTCTTCAGTTTTGCAGTGTCATTATTCTAAACATCATACGATTTTTGTATGTGCAGGTGAACGACCATTTAAATGTGACGTAGATGGGTGCGGAAAAAGTTTTACGAGGAATGAAGAACTGACCCGACATAAGAGGATTCACTCAGGTCTGCGGCCGTTTAGTTGCGTACATTGTGGTAAGAAGTTCGGACGTAAGGACCATCTGAAAAAACACGTTCGGACGCACCTTCCTCAGCCGAGGTTTGCTGCTGAGCTAGTTCATCTCTATCCATTTCTTTACGGATACTGAAAAGTGTGATTTTTCTCTACGTTCATGAAAATTCGCAAGAATAGGAAAATCCAAAACCTAGGTATCAAATAAAATTGTCTAATAATTCTGACCCGCAAAATCCTTTTGTGACGTAGGTATGGGATGGTGAAACTACCAATCTACACTTATATACATTTTGGAAAACCTGGATTTTCAGGAGAGCAAAACACTGTTTTAAGTTCCTTATCTACATATGATGACAGAAAGATGAAGACGATTCTTGAAGACATCAATGATAATTTCCATTTTTAAAAAAAAGTTATCTGTTGTAAAGTATCCCGAGTAGCACAGTGCAATGAAAATATTGAATTGAAATTGCGATCTTTAGCAATTGAAATGACATTGTTTTACTATGAAATTGCAATATTACTACATAATTCGGTCAATATGTGTCGATTTTGAACAGGCAACAAAAGGCGTTCGATGTGGCAGAATGAGAGGCAATATGCAGCGCAATGAAAAATTGCAACTCACTTGAATTGTATTGCAATTTATTTCAATAAACCAGGTGCCTTCAACCGGTATGTAGGCAATATACACAACGCTTCAACGCAATAGCAATGATTTTACCGTGTATTTAAATGTAATTTATTGCAATCTGTGCTACATGGGATGGATGCAGATGCCTTAGGGGAACGTGTTTTGGGAGTTAGGGTCCAACGTTTATCTTAAGATACCTATTTAAATTTAGAACGAAGGTTATAAGACAAATTTCTGCCTAATATTAATCAAATTAAGATGAAGCAAAAAAACCTCCAAGAATAGCATTCCTACTTATATTTACCGTGTTCAAGCCTCTAATATCTCCAAAATTCCTTTATCGCTGTTTTGAGCTCTTATTTTAAATGAGTTGATCAAGGAGTATTCGCACATTGCATAGAGCACTATAGATGTGAATATGAATCTATCCCACCTACAGCCAAGTAAATAGACTCTTAAGAGAAAAACTTTATTACTACAAATTACAACAAACTTTATTAACCACAAATATTACGATGAGAACGTTCATAAAGTCTGAAATCTACTCTTTGGCGCGTTAGTAACACGCTTTCCAAATTGCTTGCGACCACTTCCTTTTTTAAATGCCGGCAACCAGGTCTACCTAAAAAGACGCATAATAAAACCTAACCTAAATAAATTATCAATTTCGCAAAAGTTTTCCAGCATATGATTTCTACCGTTTAATGTCTGATGATAACTTTGTTTTGAAAAAACGAAAGCATTGAATCAATTTAAATCATACGTTAGGAAAGTTTGCAAATACTTGCGAGATTCCTGTATATTAAATTTTCTCGCATTTTTCTCTGTTCTAAAACCCGATTGCCGGCCGGTACGAAAAATCTGCCCGCAGAGGCCGGAAATTTGAAAAAGTGTGTCACAAACTGTGCAGATTCCGCAAGTCGCACGGCTTCAAGCTTTTATAGTGCAACTATCGCGATTTAAGAGCAAGATTTTACTTCCGGAGGTTTTATTTACTCGGCCGTAGGTACCTTTTGTGTGAACCAGGTCCATTAGAGCCCGCGTGGGAAAATTATAATGGATGGCGTCATTCATTGACACGATATACCGGGTGCTCCAGAGCACTCGTTAACTGAGCACCCATTCACTATCTTTTTCTCGAGAACGGCCGATAATTGAGCTTCGACCCCAAAAAATTCAATGAAAATATTTTCAGCCCGCCAAAATCNCAATCTTGGGGGTTTTCTAAGGGGGGGGGGTGCTCCCCGTTTCTCGCATATTTCTAGGAGGAAGGATATGTTTTGACTTCGGATTTAAAGTCTACGGCAAAAATCCTACTTTTCCTATTTTTTTTTTTAAGTTACGGGGTATTTTGGGGCATTTTTTGGGCAAATTTAAATGAGACACTTTGGGCGTTAAAATTATCCGATTTGTAAAATCTAAAAGTCCTCTGAGGATGGAGGTCAATTCCTTTTTATTGATGTGCCATATAACCCATTGCCATATAACCCATGTCATATAACCCATTGCCATATAACATATGCAACATGCAACACATGCAACATACCCTTGCCATATGGCAAGGGTTTGTTATAACTCCAGATTTGGATTCTTCGCGAAACGTTACGTGGAATTGATGTGGCGTATGGTCCATTTGCCCCAAATTTTTTGCCCCTTTTTTCCCTCCAAAAATACACGGCTTCTTCCGGGGAAATGGGGTTCTAAAGTTGTTTAGAGCAAATAGGCCATATGCCATAAAGATTCTACTTAACTTTTCGCGTAGAATCCAAAGCTGAAGGCAAAACATACTCTTGCCATTTGAAATTTTCGACTTAATGTCCTCCAAAGCACCAAAATTTCCAGGGGGACATGGCCCCCATAACTTTGGGTTAGCAGAGATCTTATGGCACATCAATAAAGAGGGATTGGCCACTATCCTCAGAAGACTTAGATTTTAAAAAATCATATAATTTTTACGCCCATATTGTCTCATTAAAATTTGCCCAAAAAATGTCCCAAAATGCCCCGTAGGTAACTCCAAAAAATGGAGGTTTAAAGGAAAAGTGCATAAAACTTAAAGGTCTTATTTTGGCCGTAGAATTTAAATTCAAAGTCAAAACATATCCTTCCTGTTAGAAATATGCGAGAAACAGGGAGCACCCCCTCCCTTAACCTCCCCCATTCATTGGGTTTTGGGGGACTGACAATATTTTCATTGAATTCTTTGGAGTTGATTTACCCATGAGATTTATCGTCCCGAAGCTCAATCTCAATTTTCGGCCGTTTCCGAGGAAAAGATAGTGGACGGTTGCTCTGGAACACCCGGTATAATATACCTCTAATGAGGAAATCTTCTTAGTGTCGCTGAAGGTGACTTTACCGGAAGACTCTCTCACTTCTAAGCAGAAAACTTTTACAACCTATGTCATTTTACCAATTGAACTCTTAAATGCTGAGTAAATCCTTTTTGAGGAGATACATTTTAAATTTTTTAAGTATTTTTTAACCCAAGATTCAAAACTTATAGTTACGAACATTTGTTACGAACAGTTGAACATTTTCCAATATGCGACGAAAAGCTGATGGATTTCGATATACTTGTAGGTACACCTACCTGTGTTAATAATTCCAAAGTTGTTTACTTGTTTCACGATTTCCTACCAATGATCGAGAAAATTAAGGTGTGACTAAATACAGACCCATATTATTTTTTGAAGCAAGTTTTTATTCATTTTTATTTGAAATTTTTTTCATGCGTGTTTTCTTTAATTTTTTATCTTGTACCTAACCATGTATTTATGAATTTATTTATTTTCAATCACTGTTGTATGTTAAGATTCTTTATGCGTGTCACAAATTTGAAAATATTTTTGTTTGGAAAAAGCAACAGTCATTGGTATAGTTTTATTTATAAATCATTATGATCATCATCATTTATGGTTCTTAATGAACTTGCAAGGATTCTACCGTTAAGGAGAGGTGATTCTTCCGTCTATCGTGTGTACTTACGTGCCCTCTCCCCTTAAAATAGCGAGCGTTCATCCTATCGAAGACTAAGGAGCAATATTGTTTAACTGACGATTCTGGCAAAAATGAGTCAGCGACTTTGTTGCATTCTACAATCTATGTTGTAAGTTTTCAAGTCTTCTAAATGTTCACTTCTAGTTATCGCATAGTTCCAGCGTTTTATCGGGCCACTTTTTAAGATTTTTGTGCTTTTCAACAGGTGTTCTATCAAAGACATTGAATCAAGTAAGCCGTGCATTCAGCTCGGTTTTGTAGGTGCAGGCAAAGCGGGGCAAGTTTCTCGGAGCTCCACGATGGGTGAGCGGGGAAGGGAAGAGAGCGTGTGTCCCAAACACTCTAGTAAAAGACTCCAGAATAACGATGGAGAAATCTTTCGTGCGCCCGATTTTCGCGAATAACTGTTTTGAGTCCATTTTCAGACAAAATCACCGAAGACAAAAAATGTACAGCATATGATATTACAATCGAATTGCAAAGTTTCACTTCTCCGAGCAAATTACCAATCGAGAAAAAACCTAACAATCCGACAAAAATTCAGTGAGGCCGCTACTACGCATGAGCAGATGTGCGCAGTTGGGGCATAATCTATAGTAAACGAAGCATTTTGATGGCCAAAAATGAACATAAGTCTGAAATGAAGCCCAATCGATTCTACTTATGAAAAGGTGTTTTTAGCCAAAAGTCCCCGTAGATCCTCTCGGGGGATTCCGCACAGTGGTCCGATGATTTGAAAATTGTACATATTTTCAAAAATTCATTGCGGGGCGAGAAATAAACTTGCAGAGCTCAATTTTTTTTGAAAATGTAGGTAATTTAGTTTACTTTTCGAATAAGCTTTAGTTTTGAACGTCCAAGTAAGCTAAATGTAAGTAAAGTTGAAAAAAATTGAAAATTGAGAATGTATCGTCAGCATTTTTTATATTTAGGTAAGTCCATATTAACGCCCAGATCGAACAATACTCTTATGCGAAAGTTGTAGGTCGTTCTTTTAGCGTTGATTTGGTTACATTGTATAGTTATCCTCAAAAGTGAAGGAAGAAGAGGGCAAAAACGAAGTGGGTCGGCGCGCGGCCTCCTGTGTTTCGAATCGCAAAATGGCGATTTTGAGTAGCGGGTCATGGCAATACCTAATGGTCTTTTCAGCTGTGCCTGTTTACAGAAGACCCAAATGAGTAATTTTCATAATTGAAGCTCTTTTTCAAAGCACAATAGTCGCCAGTTTTCACTCCATTTTCCACTATTTAATCATTTGTACTGGCGGCCATTCAAGTAATATGTCAAGTTTTTTGGACGACTTCTTCAACCTCCAACCCTTGTAAAGCACCAGTGCAACAACGAATCGACTCCATTTTGATTCAAGTAACTGCCCTGATCTCCCCCCCCCCTTAATTTTTTTTTTCGGAAAATAACAAAGAAAGTTCGAAAAGTGCGGCAGATTTTTTTTCTATTAATACCTAATTATTATTTTCTTTTAGAATGGGAGGCTCACGTAAGATCTGACTTGAGTCCCCTCAGCCCCCCCCCCCCCCCNTTCGCTAAACCCCGTGGGCCAAACTTACACCACCTACCCCTCCCCCTTGAGCAGTTTGCGTAATACTTGAACGGTCCCCCAGTGCGGCCCTTGTAATACGGAAAGCACTGTGAAAAATACAGATTACTCAAAGTTTTAATGTTCGTTTTCCTAGTACTAACTCAGTTTATAGTACATATCAGGTTTATTTTGGAAAACGTATGGGAATCTAATGGTAGCGAGGAGCTTTTTTCTTTAGTTGTATCGTTAATCAATTTCACGAATGATAAGATATAATGGCGAGCGTGAACTCATCTTGCGTTCTCGATGCTAAAAATCGTTCTCAAAAAAAAGTGGGATGAAACGAGCCGTAAAAAATAAGAATGAATATTTGTACCTCCAACGAACAAATAGCACGGACAGTAACGCTATTTTCATCCACTGTCACCAATTTTTTTTTCTTTTTTTAAAAAAAATACTGATTGTGATAGACACACGAGCCGTGTATGGACCGTAATTTGGAAATGTAGGGAACGTGCGTTACAATGCAGAAAACTGAAAATCTCACTTCAGAGGAATTACCTCACCCGAGCACAATTTTCCCACAAAGAGATACCCTTAAGTGCAACACTAGTTACGACGTAATTACCAGTGTTGCACTAAATAGCGTAGGTATCTCTTCCCAAGTAGTAGAGGTTGCAACAACTTGCAACAAAATCGTTTGATTCTTGCAACTAATAGATTGATGTGCAGATTGCCTACTCTCTCCCCCGAAAGAGCTTTCATTGTCGGAACTAGTTGCAATTATAAAGTTGAAACATGTTTCGACTTCAAAGTATTGCTGGTTGCCTATCTTTAGATTTTAAACAACTTTGGTTCAGCAATTTTGCAATCTCAGCAGGTTGCAACTTTGTCTTCCGATCAGATCGCCGAAAATCGGCACCTATCGAACCAAAAGTTGACCGAAAGTTGAAACTTTGTTGCAACTAATACCAACATTGTTTCAACTTGTTGCAATTTTTACATTGAAAAATGCTACTTGGGTTGGACGGAAAATTGTGCTCGAAGGAGCTATTTCCCTCTGTATTGAGATTTTCAGATTTCTGAATTGTAACGCACGTTGGCTACTTTTTTAACTTGCTGCGTTGGATTTTTTTTTTTAGTGGCTTGGCTAGTACCTACGTACAAATTGGGCTTTAAAATTCTGGAGAATCTTTTCATGGTAGATTAAGAGCATGCAAGATTCATTTTATATTTTCATTTTCAATGAATATTTTTGTTGCTCCGAGGAGAGTCTAGGAGGGTTGAAAAATATTTTTCTGTCGGCTTTTCAGCGATATTCGCTCATTTTTTGCATTAATGAAAAATTGGGCCTCCAATTTTGGAGACTTTATTTGTAGTAGATTAAGATGTTATAAAATTGTTTTGCTGAGATCGTGTTTTTATAGGCCACTTTAGAGGCAAGATCAAAAGGCAAGAGAAGACCGCTAAAAATTCGATGAAGATAATCTATTTATTAACCTTTTTGCTGTCACTCAAATAGTGCGAAACGTGCATTTTACTAGATAATTTTTAAACCTTCTTTTCCTACCATAAAAAGTATCTGAAAATTGGAAGTCCAATTTTTGCGCAATCATCAAGTTATTGAAAAAACTCGGTGAACTTCGCTGAAAAGTAGATAAAAA